TAATATTTTATAAAAAAATAAATAATTTATTTAATTAATAATTTAAAAAACTAATTTATCTCTATATTTTTTTTAATTAACAAATCTGTTCCTCCCCACCTATTTAGGCGGGCGGATTCGAGGGTTTTCCCCAAAACAAATCATTCAGTATCACCATGATTGCTCTCATGCTATGCTTTTTGCTCAATCGATCCCTCTTTTCAGCCCTACTTCGTCACCATTTCATTTGATTTGCTTTCATCTCAACTTGTTTCCTTCATTTTCTCTGTGCAATCCTTCTTCCTATCATCTTCTGCGGCTACTCCCTGCACCTCATCTCACATCCCTTTACACAAATCACCTCATCCTTACAAGATTCTCATTCCTCACCCTTTCACATTTGATTTTGATTTCATCCCAACTTGTTCCCTCCATTGTTTGCCTGATCAATCTTTCTTCCGCTACTCTCTGCACCTCATTTCGCTCCCTTTTGGTCAAAATCAGCTTATTTCCACTATTCTCCCCCTTTGTTTCATATCCTCATCTGATTCATTAGCTTCTTTTGTTTATTGTCTCTTTATTCTTGTTTGGCACCTATATATTTCTCTGAACTCTCAAAAAGAAAAAAAAAATGGCCGAGACTTGTGTTTGTGCAGTTTGTCAGAATGCTGCTGGAAATGTTGTTGGGAACTTGTTTAGTAAAATTCTGTCTCTTATCTCAGATCCAATCACTTTTGTGCTCAAGTGCAACAACAATGTTGACAATCTGAAGCGACGAGCTGATGAGTTGAAGCTTAGAAAAGGGTCTGCAGATGGCTGTGTTGATGTTTTTTACAGAAGAGGGGAAGAAATCACACAAGAGCTCAAGAATTGGTTGCCTAATGCCAACAGTCTCATTGAAGCTGCGGACAAATTAACAGCTGATGCGGAAGAAAATGCCAAGAAGAAGTGTTTCTTTGGGCTGTGTCTCAATCCCATATCTCGTTACCAACTCAGCAAAAATGCCAAGGAGAATTCAGAGGCTATTGTTCATCTTTTGGGAAAACCTTGTGTACTT